AATAATTTGTTTAGCTAAAATTAAATATCAAATTATTTTAAATACAAATGAAGAATGGAATATGGTCATAGCTTAATAAGAATGCAAATTGAATCTAAATTACTTGTTTGTTTTGCAAGCTATATTTTTAAATTTTAAAAAATAAAAAGTTGTGTTTATTTGTCATGTATCACATAATAGAATTGCCACTAATATTTAAAGAGACGATTTAAATTATGACATATAATATTAATTTTTTTATTGGTTTAAGCTATAAAGATAATACTATATGATTGTTAAAATGTGGCCAAATCTACAAACCTATAATTAGATAATTTTTTAGTTTAATAAGATGATAACAAGACAACAAAAAAAAATTAGAAGATATTTTATAATATAATAAATATTTACAAATTAAAAATAATAAGAATACAAAAGTTATTAGATTTATTACAATATAATCTATTTTAAAAATATATACATATTCTAAAGAATGTGATGTTATTTTGAAGTAAATTTGAAAGTAATTAAAATTTATAAGTTAATATAGACCTACTTTATTGAATACACATGTCTCCTAATTAATCAATGTCCTTTGATTAATATTCCGTGCTTACTTAATAACATTTGTTGGAACAAAGGTTGGTCCTAAGTCATAAATTTATATCCCTTAATTGATATTCCTTGCATAATTTATAAATCTTCTATCCATTGAAGTTATAAATCAACTAATATATTTGTATTAAAAAAAAATCCATAAAAAAAATTAGTAAATAAATACAAGATATAAAAAATAGAATGTGTTATTAAGTGCCAAAAATGTAGTGAGTCTTGGAAAAGAATTGATATTTTGTTTGGATATTAAAATTCTTTGTATTGGCTTGATTGTGCACACCAAATAAGGTTCAAAGGTGTGACTATATATATATATATATATATATTTATTGCAATTTGGTTTGTTGTTCTTTATTCATCTATAAAAAAAATGAAAAATAAAAAGTAATAAGGATTTGGACGCATTGTGCTTGGGTATTTTTTCCAATTGTTACAATGAATTCTTCCCGTTCATCTCAAAAAACAAAAAATAAAATAAAATAATAAAATAAAGTGGAAATGCGACGGTGAATCTGTCGAAGCAGAGGATGGGAATCAACCGGGTCCAGGGATCCACGGGAATACAAGTATCTGAATGGCAGATGTATCGGAAAAGGATCGGCCCTGGTTTTTTTCCCCGTTCTGCTCTCCCCTGCCCTGCCCTGCCCGCTCTTGGGCCTGGCATGCGCCCACAGCTTCCGACCGACTGTCCCGCACGCGACGTGCGTAGCCGCCCCAGCGATCTCTGCCGCGCGACGCGGCCTGCCTCACTCCTGTCACGCTGCTACTGCAGCGGGACCACCACCACCATTACCAAATATCAACCCACCATCCCACGAGCATTCCTCCTCCGCCCTCTGTTTCTGGACCCTCTCACTGGCACCCACCCTGATGTCAGATACTTGTTGGAAAATAAAAGTATACATGAAAAGTGAGTGAGTGTGTGAGTGTGTGAGAGTGAGTGTGTGAGTGTGTGAGTGTGTGAGTGAGTGTGTGAGTGTGTGAGTGAGTGTGTGAGTGTGTGAGTGAGTGAGTGAGTGTGTGAGTGTGTGAGTGAGTGAGTGAGTTCCATCGATGACTTGCACTCCAAGTACTTTCCGTTTCTATTTCCCGACTCAAGGCATCATCTCGCCCCCACCATGCCAGGCTGCTGCGGACTTGTACAAAGGAAACGTATGAAATGGAATATGTAATGGAAAAGGAGGATATTTTTTTTGTTCCAAATAAATCCATAAATTGAATTAAGCATATTCTACAACTTAATGGTATTTTATTACATTTGTAGGTTATATTTGTGTATGTTTTTTGTGAGATTTCTTGGGTTTTACTATTGGGTGAAGATGATCTTTAAAAAATAGACAAATCAAACAACACAGTGCATTTCGTAGCTTTCCTTTTTGATTGACATTCGACAAAGTTTGGAAAAACAGTGACGTCCCTTGAGAACACACACACGTCCATACATGTTAATATTTTTGGCGTGAGCATGGAACCAAGCGGCATTCATTTGCCCAGCTGTAGGACATGTCTCTGCCGTTCGGTATGTGCTCCATGGGCTTTGAACCTTGATTGGAATCGCTGGGTCACATAAGGAATCGAGCTTCAACTATCCTTGCTGACGCAACTGGTTTTCAAATCAGCATTTAAACAAGTAATCGATTAATGTCACCAGTGGTTGAAAATCGTGGGGTAGATGTGCCTTCACGGGTTGGCACCGACGCAACATTCAAGTGCGAGGGGGTTGCCGTCCTGACGCATTGTGAGCGTAATCAGTGAGGCTACGATGGGGTGCCAAGGCTGCGTGGTTTTGTCCACCTCTTTTCTCCGATGCTTGTGAAATTTTCTTTTCCATCAGCTTTTCCTTCCGCTTTTTTCCCACTTTCTCCTCCCTTTTCCAGTGGATCGTGAGGTTAACCCTTTCTCAATCTTCACTAGGGGATGAGATATTTTCTTTTGCTATATTTGTCTATAACCCAAAATTTTAAGGAAGCGGGGATGGATGTTAATAGCAAAAAGGTTGGAACCTAATCATCTCTAGTACAAAATATAGGGAGTGCGTGTGTGTGTTAATTGAATTTTAGTTTATTTTGGTATCCATTAAACTTTGATTACTGATTGTGCAACAACTCGAAGACTATGGCATTCAAGTAATTTGAATATTATTTTGTAAAGAAAATAAACGAGAATTTGGGGGAGAAATAAACATATGAATAATCTACTGGTGCATGCTGAGTCAGCGTTTCTATAAAGAATTCTGGAATCGTTTTTCAGACTGAGCGGCATCAGAAGCGCCATCATCTCTGCCCGTGGGGGGGGCACTTGCAGCAGACCATCCGCCACGCCAGACACCCACGGCATCAGGAGCCTTCCAAGTGGCATTACCATGTGGTTCTCAAGGTCCACGTAGGATAATTGCCTAATGGTCACGGATGAACAGAATTGGCTGCCCACGCGGCGCCTCTCCATAGAGGGATGGATGTGGCACGTGGCCTAGCTTATCCGCTGGTCTTTCATTCGTCGATTTATTTTTTTATTTTTTTATTTTTTATTCGGTTGCGTCCACTCGAATAATATACACTGACTGGAAGTGACCCGGTTCATTCAAGTTTGTGCACAGATGTGGATTATGGAATAAACACAATCGTCGCTCTAGTCATCCACTTATTATTCAATTATTTTTTTTCTTTCTTTTTTTTTCCCCCATTTTTCCATGGGTGTCCCAATTATTATTATTGTTACTATTGCTCTAAGCTTACTATTGAATATTGCTTTGAATGGCTATATAATATAATGCAGCAGAACATTAAATCAGCTACCATAGCAATGATGAAATTTTGCTTGAAAATCCTTAGCCAAGTAAAATTCGAGATTTTGGTTTTGTTCTGAGGGTACTACTGTAGTTTTCTACCAAGAAAAATCAATCTTTTTATTTAATTAAATAGTAGTTACCAAACTACTTAACAGCAAACTTGAAATTACAGTCTTAGTTCATTTCATTCTATTTTACAAAACACAGTATGTACTGCTTTGCTTTCTGTATAAAAGTCTCACCCAATAAATGTGGAACCATAAGACATTGTCGTCATTGTCTGTCTTTAGTTGCAAGCAATGTCACATGGGGCCCATTCACTAGATCTTTCACAAACTTCTCATTTGTGGACTTAGATTCTGTCACTCACAAAATTCACCTCCATATATATGTTTATATATATATATATATATATATATATATTATTGTCACTTTATTCTTGGGCTTGAAGTTAGAAAAATAGCCAAATGTTGAATATCATAGGAAAGGGACTGATTTTGAGGATCTGCAAAGATCACCATTAGTGAAGATTTTTCATGGATCATGTATTTAAAATGCTTTTGTTACTCATTCACCTACTTAATACAGGTTTGTTCATAAGGTATTGCTATTTTGACCACAATTTTTGCTTCTGCTATCACAACCTCCCATTCACCACATCTCACCACTCTATATGAAATTTAAGAACATATTATATATATATATATTAAAAATTAGAGAAAGATTTCCATATGATGTGAAGCATTAATTCAATAATTCAAAATTTCCTATTGTAATATTGCTTGAACCATGTTCTTGAACTCCCACATGTATTCAATCTGTTTGCTTTTTATTATCTATTTACAGTATGATTTTTGGAGATGTGTGTTTTGAGTGTTGAGCACAGAACCTGCACATGAATGGAGTGGATGCCAAAACAGTAACAGGGTTGAGCATAAGTCAAAGAGAGCAGCATGTCATTCATTTTTCCAATGAAATACAATGAACTTAACAAACAAATAAACTAAAAACCACATGACTCACCATCAGCAACATGTTTGAACTACCACCTCTTCATCATGGCTTCTCTCCTCATTCTCAGAGTAACTTCACATACCTTTTTCCATTTTATATTTTTGATTTATCATTATTGATATGTTCACACTTGGGCACTTGGCAGTAGTTGTCAGATGCTTCCTCTACTCCCCCACTTTCATTTTGTTGAGGTGCTGCTCAACTGTCATTACAACATAAATAAATAAAATAAATATATCTATTCATATATACATAAATACATGTCTGTTTCTGAGTGTGAGATACAGACTAAGTGGATGAATGAATGTATAAATGGAGTTTAATGTGTTGTATCTATCCTCATTAAATTGCAATCCTCGACGTGGGATTTGAAAAAGAGGAGGTTGAAATGAGCAATTGTGTCCTAATTTGGATAATGGGGTGCGGAATTTCCATGTACGTTTTGAATAATACAGACCGAGTCTCGAAACACGTGCATCGCCGTAGCTGTCGAACCGGGTAGGAGGATTGAGGGTCGGTAGAACAGGGAAGAGGGTAGGAAGGGCAGACAGTTAGGTAGGAAAGTAGGGGGCAGGTGGCCTTAAGCCAAGGAAGCCAAATCGGGTGAGCGGGGGTTGCTCCCATTATTCTAGCAGCGCGCAGTCATTTTGAGTCTCGCAGCGACGCCATAGCCGTTTCCAACACCTCCGCGCGCGCACTGCCTAGCACCTTTCCGCAGCACGTTATAGCGCAGTCACAGTCACGTTGTGTAGTATTGCACGCTTTGGTGGGAAATTTGGTTTTTGGAGGAGGACGTAGAAGCGGAAGTGTTTTGCGAAGTGTGGAGCGGATTTACGTGAAGGGTTTGGTGGTGCTGGCTGGCGGCTTGTTCTTCTACCCGTGTGGACGCATCTGGATTCGAAGAGAAGACTTGCATCTTGTACAGGGTGGGGAAGTGTAGAAGTGTGGTGATCCCGTAAGGCCCTGTGCTGCGTGAGTGTGGATGGTGGTTACGCGTCACGCAGGACGTCTCGAAATTGAAATGAAGCTATTATTTGTGGACGTGAGGCAATTTCTGCGGATGCGTTAGCGAAATCGAGAGGTGGTGTCCGAGGATGTGTGTGTCGCGAACGGAGGTTGTGGAAAGCGGGGGTGAATAGGTATTTCTGTATTCTGGATCGGCAGGCTGCAGGGTGGAGAGTGTCTGTTTTCGGTTGAGGTTGAGGTTGGTGTGTTATTCATGCATATGGTGGGCATGATGGTGCTGTTTTCCAGTTCACCTCCGACCTCTTGGGGTACGCAGTGTTCTGTGAGCAGCAGGAGTTCGTCTGCAGCAATTGACATTGAAGCGAATCATCGGCTGCCGAAATCTAAGCAAGGAGGGTTGTCTAATCTTTTCTACAGCAATGCGAGTAGGTTCCCTCAGCATGCCTCACAGTCTACAAGCGATGTGCTGGATTCTTCTCCCAGCAACTCATGTTCGGTAGGATCTCTCAGGAGCAGTACTCAAGGTGAGTCTGGATACGGTATGGGAACATGGGAAAATTATGACATCCGATTTGGGGCAGCGAACATTTCTGCGTCCTCGTCTTTGAAAACAAGAGAGCACAGCCCAGTCTCTGTGTTGCAAGGGCCTGTTGCCCGAAGCGGTACCTACGGCTCGCCCGCTCACTCTGCCCGGGAAAGTGTGAGTGGCGGGGGCCTGCCTTCTTGGGATTCTCATATTGAGAGAGTATGGTCACGCAGAAAGCCTTCTTTTTCGGGTGAGAAAGACAGGCGGATGATTGCAAGAAGTGTAGGATTTGAAATCTGTAATACTGCCGTCTTTCCTGGTGAGCAACAAGTCCGTGCAAGTATGGGCCAACCAACTGAGTCTGAGACGGCTGTAATCAGCTCCTCTGAGCCTATTCGTGTGGAGGGTTTCGGCTCAAGTGCATTTGTCTGTGGTAATTCGCCTGTTGATACTCTTACGCTTCCGCTCTACGTTGGTGGGAGGGGTTATCCCTACAACTCTCTACGAGAAGCAGCTCCAGGCATTCTTGAGGCCAGAGAGAAGATTCTGAGGCTGGCGGAACAGGCAAACGGCTTGTCCTCGGTTTCCACTGAAGATTCTTCGAAGGTGGAAACATCTACTGCAACCACTGCAGATGAGATTCTGAAAGGTGCACAAGATAGATTCAATGTCTTTTACGACCCTGTAGTCGTCAAGGCTTTCAGAATGGCAGAAGAAGCGCACAGAGGACAAGTAAGTCTTTGTTTCTGAATGCTTTTGCTAGTCTCATTGCTGCTAGCATTTCTTCTTTGAAGCGAGTGCCCATGTCGACCCAGTACTGGTGTTTGGTTCGTAGGGTGTTTATGTCGTTCGTTGATGGTGCAATTTGGGTATACGTAACTAATACATTATCGCGACGTGTTTTGTTGAACAGGTTCGGCGAAATGGTGACATGTTCTTGTCTCATTGCGTGGAAACTGCTTTGACATTGGCTGCAATCGGAGTCAGCAATACAGTGATTGCAGCAGGATTATTACACGATGCCATTGATGATTCAAACTTCTGTTTGAAACGGTTACGGGATACTTTGGGAGAGGATGTCGCCAACCTGGTCATCGGGGTACGTACAGTTTTTCTGTAATCTCTTCTGAAGAATCAAATACATAGTAACGCCTTTTAGAAGAGCAGTGTTGCGAGACAGTTCGTTGAGCAGGTACAAAGTTCAAAGCAGGGTGAATAGGGATTTACTCATTTCAGGTTTCCTGATGCACATTGTCCGAACGATACCACGGTCGTTGAATTTACTATCTTAATTTTTGGTTATTTTCACTTGATTTGTCGTTGACAGGTGTCAAAATTGAGCGAATTCAGTCAACTTGCCAGGGACAGTAACACAGTTGGTAACCCGATGGAGGCTGACAGGCTGCGGACCATGATTCTGGCTCTGGTTGACGTTCGGGTAGTGCTTGTAAAGATAGCTGATCGGTTACATAATTTGAGAACTTTAGAGGCCCTGCCTTCTCATAAACAGATAGGCATTGCCACTGAGACGCTGGGAATTTTTGCTCCCTTGGCAAATCGCCTGGGTATTTGGAGATGGAAGGCTGAGCTGGAAGATCTCTGCTTCAAGTACCTGAAGCCTGAAGATCATCAAGATTTGTCTATGCGACTGTCCGAGCGATGTCGGGAGGGGCTTGTCATGTCTTCCATCAAGAATCTGGATGAAGCTTTAAGAATTCGCGGGGTGGAGTTTATTGATCTATGTGGACGACCTAAGAATCTTTACAGCGTCTACAAGAAAATGATGAAGTACGTCTTTATGATACATTTTTGATAATGTGTTCCTCAGATTCTGGATTTTTATCATGTGTGTCTAAACTTTAACATTCTGATCGAGTTTCATAATATCTGTGCCTCTATACTACCAAGTTATTTATTTATTTATTTATGGGCATGGTTATGTACAGAAAAAAGAGAAGCCTCGAGGAGATCCTTGATGTTATAGGGTTGCGCTTGATTGTGTCTGATGAGAATAGTTGTTACGAGGCCTTGGAGATCGTTCATCAGCTTTGGAGACATATGCCTGGAAAGTCGAAGGACTACATTGTTGATTCGAAACCTAATGGGTAAGGCATTTAGTCTATAACCGGGTAATGTATTTGATAAATGCGTTCTTCCAAGATTTTACAGAACTTTTCTTTGTTCCTGTAATTCATGCTGCCTTGGCATACCATTCGTGGTCAAGTGCTGATTTTGTTCTGTTTCTGTGCAGATACAAGTCATTACACACTGTTGTGATTGGCAGTGATGGATATCCTCTGGAGGTGCAAATTCGGACAATGAAAATGCATCACCAGGCTGAATATGGGTTAGCTGCTCACTGGAGATATAAGGAAGACAACAGTGAACACTCAGCATTCAGTTTTGAACGTATTGAGTGGGCTCGATGGGTTCTGACATGGCACAGCGAGATCATGGATACGAAGCTGCGTGTATCACCACTAGGAGCAGATTTGAAACCGCCGTGCCCTTTCCCTGTGCACAACAAAGGCTGCCCTTACGAGGCACATTGCTGCGAACCAACGGTTAAGGAAAATGATCCAGTGTTTGTTGTAAAAATGGAGGATGAACATATTTTTGTCAGAGAAATGCCTCCTGGTTCCACGATTGGGGACTTGGTGTGTGCGACGGCATCGCATGTGGATTTCCTTGCAGCGGACTCAACTTCTGCTAATCAGAATGGTTTGCGTGTAAAAGTAAATCATGAATTTGTCAACAATTTGGAACAGAAATTGAGGATGGGAGACTTTGTTGAGGTTGTTACAACTGTTGAGAAGCCCTGCGGTAAGATAGCTCTGGAATTCCAGCGGGAACAGCTCAAGCGTCTATACCTTGATGGAGGAAGTTCGACTGACGATCAAAAGGCCACCTCGTTAGATCTTAGTCTTAATGTTGCTGGAATCTGAAGCCTATGGCGCAGATTGGATATCCTCAGTAAAAGCTATGAACGATTTGGATATCCATGAGAAACGCATGAACGACTTTAATCTGGCTGTATATAATGTACATAATTTTACAGCAAAGATTGGTTAGATAGACTTCATTCTTTGCCTCGGAAGGGGTTGTAAAGCGGATACTCACTTGCCCAAAATCGAGGCATCCTGCATTCTCAGGATTAGGCTGGTTCTTGAAAACATCTTCTATATATGGTGGTCAAAAGGCCTATTTAAAAGACGTAAGTAAACTACATACTTTTCATTGCGTATATGACCAGTTCAAGCAAAATGCCCATGAGAGAATCTTCTGTTAGCAGTGACTGTCCGCAGTCGAATGCAGCCCTTCTTTCATGATTATTCTTGAGAGCACTGGTTGAAACAGACCACGTAGTTTGAACTGTGGTGGTGCTGGCGTCATTTCAAGCGATAACTATGTTTTAAAGCAGTAGTAGACTAATGATTTCGATCTTGAGACAAGGAGCTGATGAGTTGCTTTCGACATTCCTGCGAATGTTGCTTCCACACATTGTACCAATTTAGAGTCATTAGTTCTATACACTAGAAGTACCCGATTGATTGCTTTGGATTGGTGTCATCTTGCAGTGCTATTTATCTGATGTTGTCATTATGGAGAACCGTGACGTGATACTAGGCTCCAAGACTTTAACACATAAAGCTTACACTGAATTTGATGGAGAATTGTGAAGATGCCTCACCTGCTACCTATTAGAATTTTTAGATTGAGTTTGTAACAATGATTAATGAATTATACAGTGTGTTCTGTGGTACATGAGTGATCCACTGAGGGAGGTGCAACTGGAACGCCGTGATCCCTCAGCTGGATGAGTTTCTGTGGTTACTAAATATGGTTTCACCTACAGATGTGGTTAATGAACATTCTTTTCTAATACACCCTCTTAACCATATTGTGGTGTGGTTGGGGTTTCTCCTCCAACCATGCCTAGTAAAGACAGGTGTTGGGCAAGCTTCGACCTAGACAACGATTTAGTAAACAAGTCAGCTCTCATATCATGAGTTGAACAATACCAAAACTGTAATTTGTTGAGTGTTGCGAGTTGTCGAATAAAGTGAACGTATGGCAATATGTTTCGTTTTGGAATGGAATCTTGTTGTGTCAACGAGTGCAAGAGCTGACTAGTTATCACAGTGAATCATGATGGGAGTGTTTTGGGTTTCATGCTGGGAGAGGTCATGGAGTAATTGTCGTAGCTACACCAGCTCGAATGCGGTGGTGGCCATGGCCATGTACTCCGCCTTCGTGCTGGAGAACGCAATCAACCGCTGGCGGAAGGAGCTCCAATTGACAACACAGTTCGATAACAGATAGTAGCAGCCCGACGTTGAGCGCTGTTCGTCTAGTTTGCTGGCCCCGTCGGCGTCAAAGAATCCATACATGGGTGTAGGGGACCGTAGATTGCAGCGATACTTGAGATGGTAGTCCAGCATGCCACGTAAACATTGGAAAGCATGTTTACAGGCTCGAACATGTGCCGGGCTTGGATCATGCATGTTTTGGTTGAGTACGCTGGTCGCAAAAGATAGGTCTAGCCGCATGCAAATTGTGGTCCAATTCAAGAATCCTACCGCATTAGCATACGGGAACATAGTACACTCACGGCGCTCATCCTTGTTGGTTGGGTAGTTGGCATTAGAGAGCTTGATGCCCGGTGCGAGGGGAGTGGTCACAGGCTTGGAGTTAGAAAATCTGAACTTCAGTAATTTCTGGGTGAGATAAAGCTGTTGAGACACATGGAGCCAGCCTTGAGTCGCAGATTATTTCGAGACTCAAAATATGGTAAACCTCTTCCAAATTTGAGAGGAGAAAACACAAATGAAGTTGAGTTTTAATTTTATGCTACAACTTGCGATGAGCGTATCATCCACATATCAGGTGAGGATTGCAAACTTAGAGCCGTGATAAATATAATATACGTTGCCATCTACTGTCAAATTTACAAAGCCAAGAGTTGCGAGAAGTGTGTTGATCACCTTAAATCAATCTCTAGGTGATTCTTATAATCCATAAATGGTTTTGGTGAAGGCGACACACCATACTAGATTGTGGGGGTATGACTCCTGGGACCTTCATATATATTTCTTCTTGAAGATATCCATTTAAGAAGGCTGTTTTAACGTCCATTTGATGGACATGAAGATCAAGTTGAGCTGCCTAAGCAAGGATGAGCCCAATTGGTTGTATTCAAACAACTGGTGAAAACGTTTCATTGTAATCCAAGCCCGGAATCTGGTTGAGTCGACGTGCCACAAGACGTGCTTTGAAGCGATTCACTGCCCCAAAATTTTTGAGCTTGATTTTAAATATCCATTTAATGCAAGTGATAGGCTTGCATTGAGCAAGAAGCTTGGTAAACGTCCATGTAACATTGATTGCGTGAGAATTAAGTTCCTCCTCAATGGCTAGTTGCCATTGAGATCTCTTTAGGGAATTGATAGCTTGTAAATAACTGGTTGGTTCAATAGACACAGTAGAAATTGTAATGAGAGCGCGAGGAAGCTGGCTATACTTTCTCGGTTTGGAATGAGTTGTTAAAGTCTCCGGCGCATAGTTCTTGGCAGGATCTCTCGGCAGCAACACACACTTATTGTGGCGAGACCAACTTCGGACGGGAACTGAGGCAGTTGGTGCAAGAGCCTCAACAAGACCATCCTAATCAAACTTCGAGGTGGATGTAGTCGGACAGGGGAACTGGGCATCCTTGTTGAGATGCGGCATGAGCTCTAGTCCCAAATTCGGGTCTAGCATGCGCTGGATCGGGTTGATACCCTTTGGAGCGAATGACTGATTTGGAAAAACAATGTCCGCGGAAGTTGCACGGCGTAGAGACGGTGATTGGGGTGACCTAGAGCCACCAAGCACTGATAGCAAGTGCACACGCGGACTAGGGGAGCCGCCAATAGAGAAAAAAGCAGGACCTCCACAAACAAAAAAAAATAAATAAAAAAAAATAGTGCAGCAGATGGAACGTTGGGATGGCCAGGGAGAATAGTAGGAGGGACGTCGGGACGGCCAGGGAGAACCTCGGAAGGAGGAACTTCGAGGTGGCTAGGGAAGAGCCGAAGTTGACAAGCTGGGTCAACCGTTGCTGAACCGGTCATGCTGCGAACATGGAGCGCAGTCTCCTGGTCGCTTGTTGGTCGCACAAGGAAGAGCCCATGGGTTGAAAAAGACGTAGATCCGTCTAAATTTTGAAGTCAAGAACTTTCAAAGAATGCGGAGCAGGAGGAGAACAGGAGGCAGGCTCCTCCTGAAAAACTACATCGAGTGAGATAATAAGTTCTCCATTTGTGATTTGTTGAATCTTATATCCTTTGCTGTACCAACACCAATCTCAAAAAAACAATGCAACATTGTATACCAAGAGCCATCAAACTTTGGTCATTCCTTGATTGAAAGACTACTTCTAGCCATGTTGAAGAGATTATTAGTGCTCCTTTTTTTGTAGCAAATGTCTTTGACACAAATTTTCACTTGTGATTGTTTATTGTTTTTTTTTAGAATTTTTATATAAAAAATTTGTAAAATTATGGTATGATATCATATTAAAATCATAGATCAAATTTATAATAGTGATTAATAAATTATATACAATGTATTTTGTTTGGTACATGAATGATTTTGTGAAGTAGGTGCGATTGGAATGTTACAACTTCTTAGTTGGATGAGTTTCTATCATTATTAAAAACAATTATATCTATAGATGTAATTAATGAATATTTTTTTAAAAAATTATCCATATTAAGTTTTAACTTATTTAAGAAATATTATAATGTAGGATTGTCAGTTGCTTCTTTTTTATTTATGTACATTCATAATTGGGCTAATGCGTTTACCAACTTGGTATGGTGCTTTTCCAATAGAGATTTATATTTGGAATTTCTTTTAATGTTGAAGGATGGATATTGTCAAGGACATGAATCTTGAAGAATTAAAAATTCAAGACACTCTTATGATATTTGAAAAGACTAAATAATTACTCAAAGATGATATAATATTAAATTAGAATGGCTATTGCTAAAAAGAAGAAGATTAGAAAGTCTTAGAACAAGACTAAGGACTACACATGCATTGAAAAGAGTAAAGAAGGCTTTATTCTTGCCTCTATATACACTATCTAACTAAGAGTTACATGACAATGTTCTACAAGACCTCCAACATATGTTGACTTTGTAAGATACATATTTTAATTTATAAAATATATAAAATATTATAAAATTAATCTATTTTTATCTATTTTTACTTAATCATATAGCTAATTATTGAAATAAATATGGATGTCCATAATATTACTCTTCTTTCTAGCGACGACTTTTATGAGGAGTGGTTATCATCTTTTATGAATCTTGCTATTCTTCATCTTAGTTTAAATGGATGTCAATTGATAAAAAGTTTCAACCCTCTTTATTGCATTTATAAAATTCTTTGTTGGCTTCGATGTGCATTTACTAATATCATATCTAGGTTAATAAACAAGATATTCTAATATATTTCAATGCGACCTTAAATCTAAGACTTCTTCCACTTCATATTCTTAATTATTATCTACTTCAATAAGAAGAGGTGGCATTTGTCTTCTTTCGAAGATATTCATTATATTATATGGCTCAAGAAGAAATACATGGAATACATGATGGATCTTTATAGACTTTGTTAGATGTAATTAATAAACAAAAAGATTAATTTGTTTACAAATAGGAAATGATCCAAGTATATAATAATCTAACTTATCACAATGGCAACTAGTCTTGATATTATGACAAAGTAACCATATCTTATTGCCAATGTAGAATTTAGGTTGTTCCTTGCAATAGGCATTTGTATTAGTCTTTTGTTGTTCTTAAGCTTTTTTTAAATATACTTTCATTATTATATGTAGCTCAAAAAAACAATTTTTTAAATTTTTTGTTATAAGATTATCAATTTTTGAAAAGTCAAAAACATCAAGATATAGATGATAATCATAATTAATAAAAAATATTTTTTTTGCATAAAAAAATATACCATATTATTATAAGCAATCATCTTATTAATAGTTGATGGTATATCTTAAATACTATTCCAAAACTTAGTTAATATGCTTTGTGTGTCCATTAGTTTGAGGATGAAAAGCCAAAGAGAGCTTTATATCTACTTTTAGAACCTTGAAAAGGATTTTTCAAAATCTTGATACAAATTGGATCTTCCTATCCAATATATTATCATTGAGCAATCCATTATAGGAATAGATGT